CAACCCCACTAATCATGACTTTGCTCTCTCTGCACCAACTAGAAATTGAAGAAAGTGCTAACTGGTATTGCTTCTGAATTGTGGTGTGTTGTGCTACTTGTTGACCTGGTTCACCAGGAGACAAGAGTGCAATGACCATGTCCTTTGCTTCTGCACTATTGCTTCATCATGCAGCCCTATTTCCTAAGTCCAGGTAGACCCCTCTTTAAACGTTGCACTGGAAGGATTTGAGTAATAACTTGAGATTTTTGTACATATGAATGGTGATAGCATCCGGGTATAGGAAGTTAATGTCATTATAGCTAGAGTACATTTCCTACTAAATCTGGGGAGAACAGCCACTCAGGGAGCCGTTCTGCATCTAACTAAGCTCTAATGACAGACTTGGGTTCAGAAAATATCCTGTAATGACATCGAGAGTCTTAAAAACTGCCTTTGGGGAACATATAAATTACTGCTTTAGTTAGATACAAAGTACCTTAAATACAAATGGGAAGACTTTTTTGTTCTTTTAAAATCCTCATAATAAACAACAGGCTTGGAGTGGTATTTGCTGAGGAGGTGCTACATTAGTGACACTTGGAATCATTTAAAATATTGATTTGGAGGTAAATTTTGATCTGGTAAACTTTGATAAATTATAGATAACATCCGTGAGACAGATTACCCCAGTCTAGAGTTTGTTAAAATGTGGTCCATGGATAAAAGTCAAACATATATGAGAAAACTGCATGTGAATCATCTTTCCTTCTTGTTTATTCACAATGTACATTAGCATATCAGAGACTCTGAGCGGTACCACAGTAAAATAACTTCTAAACTTTTTAATTAACTCTCTGTCCCCCAAACTTATTTGGCAATAAGATCCTTTACACATGCATGCCTTATAGCAGCCCAAAGAACTAAGCTTCAGAGGAACACACACTGTATAATGCTTCTTCAGTTTATCCACGCAAGTTAAACAAGTTATTTATAAGCAAATAACCAGTTCCCCTAAATAATTCATGTATTCATTATATTACAAAGCAATAGCACAGTATACCTATATCATAAACCAATAACATAATGAACAGGTGAAAAATTTGAATGAATCACAGTAAAGCTATTATCTAATATTATTATCAAACATTTACATTTACATCTTTAAAAATTGAGTTACTTAAAAATATATTTCTTTATAAGTTAAAGTCCTGTTAGCTGGTGCCCCTCAGTCCTTATTTTTTGGTGACTTCAGCCAGCAGCCTCTTAAGAAACTTGTGACAGGAACCAGAGTGTCAGCGGTTGCTCATTGACACTTTTTCCTTACAACTTACTTAAGGAGAACTCAAGCTCATTAAGGCAAGGATATTTTTTTCATTACAATCTGCTTCTTAACTACAGTGGTCCAAACTATATTTTCCTCATAGGTTCTTGCAAAATACTGTTATCACTCATAAATCTGAGGTCAGAATGTTGTCTCTCTGGTATACAATTGGTAATACTATCTCATATATAATTTTTTAAGTGTTGATTTAAAAACAAGAAAAATCCTACAAAATTGGCATTTCATCATGAGACCGAATATACGTATTTATGAAAGTAGAGCAAGGACTAAAGTATAGATTGTTCATTCGTCACAGATGGCTCTTCTATTGTCATCCAGAAGATAGCTTCTTTGAGAATTTTATCTTGGTGGCCCAGATGCTACAGTTTTTTTATTTTGTAGGAACTGCTGGGAAAGGAGGACTTAAATAAAGTCTCCTTGGTTTGGGAGAGACCAGGGGAAAAAAAGGCAGGGCAGGGCTCGACTACAGGGTAGTAGCTTCTTTGCTCCATGAGAAGGAAGGATGAACCCTTACGAGGGATTGAGGTTTTTTTCGTTGGGGGGTTTGGGAAAGAGAGTAAAAAGACTGAGTCTGGACAATAATTGGCTGTGAAATATTTTAAAACATAAAGGCAGGCAACATCATTTTTTTTTTTAGACTTATGATAAATTCTAAAATGAGAATGCCTAGAAAATAGAAAGGAGGTGGGGGTGGAGACCCAAACAAACCAACACTGTCACAAAGATTGGTAGGCATGACATTCAATTACAGTCAGTGTGAGCACAGCTTGAGAAAACGCTCAAAGGCAGGTAACTGGAGTTATGTATGAATGACTCCCTTTTAAGAAAACCAAGAGCCTAAGAAGGTACAGTAGTTCCCAGCCTTTTTGATTTCACAGAAAAATAACATTAAAATAATTGGTAACTGACTTTAGTAAACTACTTTTAAAAAGAAGATACTAAAAAAATTACAATTTATTATTATCATTGTTTTGGATTTTCTTCCCACTAGAAAAAATGGGAAAGGCACAGTCTTACTGTTACAATCCTTGAAATTGAATATATTCAGATACATGAAAAACTAGACATTGTCCGAATTTTTCTCCTTTCATCAGGTTCACTTTGTCACTAACCAACTGGTTCACGGATTTGTGTTTTGGAACACTAGAAAAATCCCTGAAACATTTCCAAAGTAGTATGATTTATTATCTTCAGAGGAATTCATGTTGATGTTATTAGTTGCATTAAACATACAAATATCTCAGCCAGACAACATTATTTATTGAATCTTCTAGGTGATGGATTAAAAAAAAAGTGCCTGATCCTTGCCCTTGATATCCAGGAAAAGTGTACTGCTTTTAGAAGAGGTAAACAGGGTATTAAACAAAAGAGAGATGTCCATCGTGTTGAAGAAGGAGTGAAGAAGCAAAAGAGCAAAAGGAAATGGCTTGTCAAGTTTCTTGGATATTTAGAAATAATCAAGATTAATTTCAAGTGTCAAGTACTTGCCCCTGTTTTAAAAAAAAACTCTTTCATTCAGGGAAATCATTTGAAACTTCAAGTGGCAACCTGCTGAACACATGGCCTATTAGGCAATACGTACTTAATTACTAACATTCATTGTACACTCATTATATACAAAATACTCCCCTAGCTGCTGGGATACGGGGAGACAGTTGTAAAGACGTGTAGGTCCCTATCTCATGGAGTTTACACTTTAGTAATCTAGTAATTCAGTAAGGGTAAACGAACTACATTGACTCAGTCAGTTTTACATAGGGACTGATCATTTGTTAAAAAGCAAGCTGTAAACTTATATTCAGTCCATTATTTTTTCTAAAAAGGAATTGGTGGTCTTTTTTTTTTTAATATGCTCTATATGATGCATCACAACAATTCTTGGTCTGAACTAAATTTGCAGTCAGCCAGAAGATGTGCTCAATCCCATCCTTCACACTGACCACCATCTGGTTTCAGCAGAAGCTTTTCAATTAGAATTTTTTTTCGGAGTTTCTTTCTGTTTCTCATTCGACTTTTGGGGACGGATTAGTGAGGAAAGGGGACGATAGGTTAATTTTTGGGTGATGTAAATATATTTTCATTTATTATTAATATTATTATGAATTTTCGAAGCCTGGTTTTTAAAGACCAGGGAGACAGATTGGAAAGGCGTTGGAGAGTGGAGGTTTGTGGGGGCAGGATGCCAGCAGGTGGCGCTTGTCTCCTCTGAGCCGATGACAATGCTTTGCTCTCAGCCAAGAATCCGGTAGGAATCAAGGGCGACTATGTGTGCAGTCCATGCACGGCACGCAGATCATGCCATCCTTAAGTGCTGAGCCCATGAAATCACAAGTTCCAGCCTGTTGCCTAGGCCATCACACTACCGCGTTACCACTGTAAAGACGGGCTCCCCTACGCCAAGGGTTGTATTGTTTTCCTGCTGGACCCCCAGGCTCGTTTCCTCAAGCCTCTGACTGCAGGGGTGACCTTAGATAGGTTTCTTAACTTCCTCTGTAGACTGGGGCAGACAATTTTTTCCACTCGTGGTGTTCCTGGATTAATCATTTACGCAGACTACCTAGATCAGTGCCTGGTTCATTGTAAGCGCCCAAAGGCCAGAGAGCATCTTTTGGGCCGACCCCATAGTGAATAACTGCCTCTTGGGGAATTCTGGGTCAAACATCAAGAATAATTCGCAGAATTAAGACAACTCGAAATAACTCTCTCCTTCCCGTAACCTCTCAGTATTTCAAATGCCACCCACTGCCTCCCGCTGTTTTCTCAGACCACCTAAAGCCTCCTGTCCCCTAAAACCTCCTGGGCGGCAAAAGGAAACCCACAGGCGGCGCCTATCTGAAAGTCACCTCCGAGCAGCCCTCCGCGTACCCGGATTGCGGGGCGGGTCGCAGCGAAGCGGCGGGGACCAACCCGGCTCGGCGCAGAGGAAGGCTCGGGGCTGGAGAGACCGCGTGGGGGAAGGAGGAGGAGAGAGCAGGCGGCGGAGGAGGGGAGAGCCGCCGAGAGGAGGGAGCAGGGGCGGGCGGAGACACATGCGCGCTGCCGCCGCCGCCGCCGCAGTCCTTAGCTTCCCGGGGACAGGAAACCTTCAAGACCGAGCTGCTACTGCCGCCTCCCCGTCCGCCCCCCATTCTACGCGCCTGCCGCACCCTCCTCCCCTTCTTCCGGCGTCCCTGAGTGGAGTCCTGCGGGCGCGACGCAGCCCGAGTTGCCGTCTTTCCTCCCGGGCAAAGCTGTGACCCCCCCCACGCGGGAGCGGCGGGGCGGGGTGGGGGGGCCCGGGAGAAGATGGCGACGCCGGGAAGCGAACCCCAACCTTTCGTCCCCGCTCTCTCGGTATCTACTCTGCACCCACATCATCACCCCCACCCCCACCCCCACCACCACCATCAGCACCACGGAGGAACCGGAGCCAGCAGCGGGGCGGGCGGCGGCGGCAGCGGGGGCTTCAACCTGCCCTTGAACCGGGGTCTGGAGCGCGCGCTGGAGGAGGCGGCCAACTCTGGGGGGTTGAACCTCAGCGCCAGGAAATTGAAGGAATTTCCCCGGACCGCGGCCCCCGGGCACGACCTCTCGGACACGGTGCAGGCAGGTGAGAGAGGGCCGAGGGGCAGGCGGTGGGTGTGGGTGGGATGTCTGGGTGGCTGGCTGTCGTGCTTTCCCCGACGCTGTGGCCAGTCAGAAATCTGGTGTCGCTGGGGGGGCCATCGGCCCGTGCTCGCCCTAGGAAGGGACACGCGTGGGCGCGGGAGCAGCGGGCCGTGCAGAGGGCACGTTGGCCCCCGCCTCGCCCGGCGGGTCGGTGCCGGGAAAGCAGGGGTGCGCCGGGCCGCTGCGCCCGGGAGCGCGCGGGTCTCCGGCTCTCCACCCTGTGGCGGCTGCGCCGGGGAAGTGACCGCGGGACTGGGACTTGCGGGCGCGCAGTGGAAGTGGGAGGTTGCAGGCGTACGAGTCGGCTTCCTGGGCCCCGCGCAGGGGCTGGGAACCCGAGCGCTTACAGCCGCTTCTGCGCCTCCAACCAGTTCTAGGCGTCTGTGCACCAAGGCGTCGCCCATCCTGCTGGGGAGACCCAGACAAAGGTGGCACGCCCTCGGCCTGCCGAACCGAGGGCATCGGCGCGGTGCCTCGAGGCCCCCGCGGCGACATCACCGAGCGATCGGGCAACTTGGTGCGGCCCGCGAGGTGCCGAGGCTTCCTCTTCGTGCGCCTGTGAGAGGAAAGAGCCGCTGGGATTGTAGTGACCCGAATCGGCCGCCGCTTCGGAAGCGGTCGGCCCCCTCCTGCCTAGCCTTTCGCTCACCGCCCACGCAGTTGGGTTCCTGCCGCCGAGGCTACCTGGTTCTCAGTAACCCGATCTTTGCCGGGCCGCGGAAGGGACCGCATGGCATACTAAAAGAAAAGTAATTAAAGTGAGCTGGTTTTCCTGTGTGAGGCTGGCAAGTTGTAACTCGCGCCAATGAGCAGCATAACTTTTTCAAGTTATGTCATGTGTTGACATATTTCTGAAACGTCCGCCTTCTGTTTGGGAGTTCGAGTTGCAGGAGCTCGAGCTATAAACAGGGAGGAGGATGGTGGAATGGGATTCTGGCCTTGGGGTCTATACAGAACTGACCTGGTTTCCAACCATCCGGTTTAGCTCCTTGGGGGAGGGTTTGTATCATAGCAAGCGCCCAACATTTCCCCGGGCGGTGGGAGGCCCATTTGGAACCACTGCCCAGACCTCTCGGCTGTCATTGCCCCATGGAGTGAGTATCAGGCCCCTGGATCCTGGATGCCTTGACTCTCAGCGCAAGATCTCCCAGTTTCCTCTTACAGAGGAAGAAGAGGGTGAGCAAAGGGGCAGGCAGTGGGCTTTTGGAGGCTAGGTTTTCAATGCCCCTTTTCCCTTTAAATCAATAAACATTTATTTAGAGCCCTAATGAGTATTTAGATAGAGTTCTGAGTTCACTGGAGACAAAAGGGCTCTCTAGGGTCATTAAACTTTTAATTTGGATTTAGGGATAGTCAGGAATGGGAAAGAAAGAGGGAATTTCCAGAGCTGGGCTGTCAACAGCTGGAGAGTCTCTTTTGATAGGACCTCTTAGTTACATCTTCTCAAGTGGAAGTTATTCCAAGAATTGTCTGAATCATTAACTTAAAAAAAAATCTGTTATTCTACTTCCTTCTGCCATGGAGCTTACCATGAACTATAGAATGGTTAGATACGACTGCAGAAAATAGAGCTGGCATGACCGATAACATGTGTTCGTACAGTTCAGTAGGGGGGCTTCAAAGTTGTTCTTTTACTTCAGTTATGCTGACCATTATTTCCAAAGTTAGGCTTGCTGTGTTGGCATTTCTTTGAGAAGACCAATGCTTTTAAGAGCAGGGACCACATCTTTCAGCTGAGACCTTGCCATTTGAAGTATATGCTTCCAAATGTTTCTGTTTCTCTCTCGGCTTGTTTATGGCCAGCTTAGGTTGTGAGATTTGCAGTTTTTTAATTGAGCTATCTTGCACATGCTTAACCCTCAGAAAAATCTACAGGTTAAAATTCAGAGACATAATGTTAATTCCTCATCCAAAAATACAATATTAATTGGGCGAAGAGGAGCGGAAGGATGTCACCTAAGTTGTGTAGACACTTAAGACAATGCCATAAAGAGAGAAAAGTATTCAGGGTAACCAGTTATTTTACATGGAATTTGAATACCCAAATGTATTAAAGATTTGCTTCTGCAAAACGTCTTTGCCTTGGTCAAAAGCTGGCTGTAAATCATAGGCATTCTTCTCTTTGTTCTAAAGAAATATTTAGTTGATCACAGATTCTTACTTGGAAGAGCAGAAAGTAAAAGGAAGAGTTAAAGTTACCTCCAGTGTGCACAGTGTTGACATTTCCTACACATAAAGAGTTCAAGTAGAACTGAAAGTATGGTTAGTTAACATGTATAATAAAGATAATGGTTTCTCCTGGACTCATATTTAGTTTAAGAATCCCTCTTAAAATCAGAATGGCACATGAAGATCCTTAAGACCTAAGATGTAGAGTGAACTTTTCCATAAATTTTGTAAGACAGGGAGTGATATAGCAAGCTTTTTCTCATTGTTAAGTTGTATAAATACAGGCCATTTGGTTTATGTCTTCTAAAAAGTCACTTTTCTGGCAGCCACCTATGCAGAGCTGAAACAGTCTTAAAAACCAAGATGTAAGCACAGAAACAGAGTGGATATCTAAGCTGTCACTCAGTGCGTACACTTTATTCATGGGAAAAAACTCTCAGGCTTTCACTTCGAGCCTATTAATTTACTTATATTTGAGTCAAAAGTTTTGTTGTCAGATTCTAGTCTTTTAACAAGTGAGATGGGGAAGAAAAGACTGATCCGCACAGGCCCCCGTGGCACAGGTGTCACTGACTGAAAGGGACAAAAGAGCCATGATTAGCACTTGCTGGGTGCACTTCACTGTGTGCCAAATGCTTTGCCTGCATTTTTTCACTCAGTCCTCACTAGGAACCTGGTCATACCCTTATCTGCAGATAGGGAGATTGAGATGGAGACAAACCAGGTAATATGCTCAAGGTTATACCCCTACCCAGATGGCGGACCAGTGATTTGAACCCTGGTGGCCTCACTTTAGCGTTCACGTTCTTGACCATACTCCCCATTCAGCACAGGGAAGGGGTGGAGAGGTGCAGAATCTGGGAAGGTTTCTGGAGATGCATTCATTCAGCTTTCGTTCTACAGGTAGCTACTGAGCTCCATTAAGTGCACGCCACTGATCTAGGCACCCGGGACACAGCAGTGACCAGAAGAGAATCTCTGTATCCCTTCTTAGGGCTTTTCATTCTAATTGGAGGGCAACAGGGAAATAAATTAAGAAATAGATTTTGCAGGTTGAGTCGAAAGTGTTATAGGATAGATACAATATCTTTGTTTTATGAATACACAAGCTGCTTTGTATTGACTCAAGGTGGCTTGTAGCAAGAGCACAAATGATGACTAGTAATAAATATAAACTAAAGCATAAAATGGGGCCTGATGAAAAGAAGTACACAAATATGCACATCAGTAAAGCAAACGTTTTTTTTAGTGTTGATTTATTAAATAGTATTGTTTGGATGAAGAAATTCAAAGGGGTGTTTGTATGACTAAAATAAAGTGGGTTGAAAAGAGAAATAAAAAAAGTGTCTGCCTTAGGCTGATTGCAGAGGGTTCTAGAAAACAAAAAGGAAGCTCTTAGACGTAATGTGCAGAACACTCTTTGAAAGTTAAGGAAAGGGTGGAGTGTTTCATTGCCAGTATCTTTTTGAGGTGGCTGTAAGCAGGAAAGACTACATGAAGAGCTTATCCAGGCAGGAATACAGAAGTGCAGCATAAAAAATACCCATTTATGTGGGAGAGTTCTGTAGGAGATATGCAGAGTATAAGACAAGACAGGAACACATGAGAAGCTAATTAAGTAACAGGTCCAGGAAGCCACTGGAGACACAAGGCAGGTCGAGGTGAGTTGTCAAGTAGCACCGACGGACACTGTGTGCAGAATTCAGAGGAAAAGTTCACTTTGGTGAAGCTGATTAGGAAAGACTTTGCTAGCAGAGGTAGGATTTGGATCAGGTTTTGTAGGATGGATAGGATTTAGATAGAAGTACCCGTGAACACTCTGTGGTTGGAAAGATGGTTCCCAGGTGTGGAGTTAGAACCTGACAGTCTAAGATTCTATGAAGAAAAGAAGAAGAGAGGGCATTTAAACCTGTCTTTCTGGTCGTATCCTCCTACCCACTCCCACCTTAGAATGGGGTAACAGAGCACAGGCCTCCTATGACCCTTTAATTGAGGGCTTTGGCTATGGCTGAGGTCTGGGATTTGTCAGCCTCTGGGACTAATGCCCTAGACTGTGTGAGCTGTCTCTCTCAAATGTCTGTACAGACTGAAAGAATCTTCTCTGAGGTTTGTGGGCAGGCTTATCTCCTGAAGGCTGATTTTCCTCACCCCACTTCCATCCTGTAGCAATGGAATCCTTGGGATATTAACACTTTTTAATCATTGGAATTCACACAGACTTGATAAAGACATCAATTCGTTCTCAGCAACATACTCTGTTTCATAATTATGGTCTCAAACTCCTGGCCTTAAATAATCCTCTCTCCTCGACCTCCTAAAGTGCTAGGATTACAGGTGTAAGCCACCTCTTCTGGCCTATGTCCAGTTTTGAATTTTTTTTTTTTTTTACTATTAAATTTGTTAGTTATTTCTATTTATTTGTTTATTTTATAGACAGGGTCTCATTCTGTCACCCAGGCTGGAGTGGAGTGGTGTGATCACAGCTCACTGCAGCCTCAAACTCCTGGGCTTAAGCAATCTTCCTACCTCAGTCTCCTCAGTTGCTGGGACTATAGGTATCTGCCAGGAGGCCTTGCTAATTTTTAAAAATTTTTTTGTAGAGACTATATTGCCCAGGCTGGTCTCAAACTCCTGGACTTAAGTGATCCTTCCACCTCAGTCTCCCGAAGTGCTAGGATTATAGGCATGAGCCACTGTGCCTAGGCAAAATTTGTTGGTTACTGGTGTACCTGTCATTTACTGTGGTAGCCACTGTCGTGTAAATGTCTTTAT